TCAAATTCCATGCTAGAAATATTTTATAGAAGGTGACTCCGCACTCTTGTTTATAAATTATTGATAAATACTCAAATCTCATTTTATACATACTTTTTGAGGAATCATTGAGTACCACTCGCTTATCCATCACTCAGTTCTCGTCATTTGTATTTTAAACGGTTATAAATACTTCCATTCTTTATTGATTTAAAAAGAAAATTTCAATTGCTTTTTATTTTTTTGCCGATGGTTAACTTTACTTTTTAAACTTCATTTCTCTTAGCCTCTATTTGGAAACAATTTATAAATAGTTTAATTTATAAAAGATAAAAATAAATAATTGATAAGCGAATAATATTTGTGGATTCATTGTTATGCGTGGTCGAACAATTATGATCTCAATTTAAGAGTCATTCAAATATTTAAAAAGGATATCTCGGTAACATTGCTCGTGCATTTGGTGGTTTTTTTTTTTGGTCCTAAAATCATGTATGAGGTTCTAATTTCATTTCAATTTGGTTTGCTAAGAAAATCTCGTTACAAAGGTTAATATATTTTTTATGTGCCACAGACGTATTATGTACGCCAATATAATCGTTAGCTATAGATTTTACAATACTTGTGTAACGATCTGATTTCTCGAAAATTCAAACTTTTACTAATTCAAAAGAATAAATATATATCGAGCCCAAAGAGATAAAATTAACATCCATTTATTCATCAATAAAAATAATTGTCTTTCAAGGGCAAATAAAATAAAATTAACCATATTTGAAATCTGGAAAAAAAAAAAAGATTCCCTTTTTAATTAAAATAAAATTTCTGCCATCATCGATCGAATTACAAACCCCAAACTCACGATCTCAATTTCCTGAAAAGGGGAAAACTGAATGGGGTGAGATTTAAGAAAAAATCTCAATAAGCGTGTGCCGTGAATAAGTATTTTGCATTTAAATTAAAGAAAAACAAGATTTCATATCGTACATAGGAGACATGGGAATTACTCCAAACATAAGTGATAGTAAACACAGTGAGTAGCGCTACTAAACTTCAGCCTTCTTATCATAAATATATATGGCCCATAAATGAATTTTCAGAATTTAAAACTCAATATACAAGTTCACATAACCACAAGCAACATCACTTACCTCGTAAATTTCGAATGGAAATAATAAAATGCGTGTGGAGTAGTTGATTTATTCAA